TAAAGGTATTATTTTTCTTTATCATATGTGTTTCCTCCCTTATTAACATGATTAATAAATCATATATTTAATATATTTAACTAATAACTTTGACATAATCTTGATACTTTTGTAATGGGGGAGGTGAAAATGTGATGGACCAGGCTGGGATTCAATACTGGCCCCCCCCCCCCCCTCCCCCTGGATTTCCAGTCAGGTACTCTACCAACTGACAAATGGAGCTGGCCACTGGCAAACAAATTAAACCCATATGACAACCAAATTTCTCCTTCCTTAAAGGTCTTAAAAGCTTAAAGGCAATTTGGCAATGCACTTGCAATGGAGCATGTCTCATGATGTCTGAATGCCACACTTTATTAAAATATTTACCTTCCAAAATGGATTTTTTTAGGGTGTCTAGTGCTTATGTTCCCATTCTGTGTGCGACCTGCGTGGTTACGACCCAAGTGGTTTCGAACTGCTTACACAGGTAAAAAGAGGCGTACACACTATACAGTAAACACAGGAATATTAGGTAGCTGTATATCAATTACCTATGGCTTCAGGGAGGGATACCTGTCAACAATTGGTTGACAAGTCAATAGTAAACACGGTAAAGATTGTTATACCATGTATACCTTTAAAAATTTGTTCCTATACAAATCTATACGAAAAAAAATGTAGAACACTTTTAATGTTTGGCTGAGCGGGCAAAAAAAAAAATCGATGTTGGACCGCTCGGAGAGATGTTGGACCACTCACATCACAGAATGGGCGGAGCTTAATCTCATTTTCATTCATTGGTGTTAAACAGTGACAGACCTGATGTTACATTGCGGAATATAGTACAAAATGTATGTATGTCAAAAAATATCAAATATAATGAAAAGTATAACCATGATACAAAACATTTATCGACAGAATTCTCAGACAAAATGTGTTTTGTTGGACCCTCGAACCAAACTGACTGCCTTCGGCCTAACGGCCTCGGGCAGACAGTTTGGTTCTTGGGTCCGTCAAAACACATGTTGCCCTCGAACTCAGTCAATAAATGTATTTTGTTAACATTGTTTCTTAATGTTTTTTAGGACAAGAATGTAATTAATTTCATTTTAAATATAGTAATAATGATTTATACTTTTAATCAGTTTTACTTAACGAGGCCGAGTCTAATTCAAGTGCGCATCACATTGCGCACTTATTTATTTCATGCAGTCATTTGTGTGACAGTACACCTTTGAAAATTATTTTAATTTTAATATAAAATTAACATTATTTGTAACTCCTGCTGATCTGAAAATGTGATTTTACGACAATAATTGGAAAAAGAACATTGAAATGGCTCTTACAACGTCACCATATTCGGATTTTGTAAGCAATGCTTGACGCTAAAGAATGTCGCATGACTCGCTTGTATGTTCAAGATGTTCATGAATATTATACTAAAAACTGTTGACATAACTTCCCAAGAAACATACTAGCAATCTAAAAATTGCTATTTTTGCCGAATAAAATTGTATGCGCCGACAATTCATCTGCAAAGATATGAATTTGTACCGTAATATGTCAATTTTAGTGGTATTTGGCTTCGAAAAAATAAACTTAGAAACTACTACCTAGACCAATCGAGATGGTGAACTTTTTTGAAATTTCACAATTTAATATGTTTTTACATTAACTAACATTTACTTGTCAATGAATGAAAAAGAAATCCCTAGGGCAGAAATACCAAAAATATGGAAAAAATGTCATAATTTTGCGATTTTCCAACAAATTCCCATAGGGTCCAATAGTAAAGTTTGACAACATTTGACATACATGCCAACTTTTGAAAATTTTCTTGGGGGAGATTGCGCGTAACGACATTTTTTAATGTTCTTAATTCGCGGCATTTTGTCGTGAAAAATAGCTATTTGTAGGTTGTTTTTTTAAATATCAATCTACTACCTTGTATCATATATTATCACTACTTGTAAAAGTGTTTTCTTCTCTATATAGCAACTTCAACAAAAGCACAAATATAATATCATTTGAAATTATAAAAAATACTTTATTCAAAATTATTTAATATGTTTATATTAGGATAAATATACTCCTTGTCTCAAAGAATGTGATACACAAACAGATATGTAAGGATGCTACACTCTTCAAATAAGCTGTTGCAAGTTAATTCATTACCATGTGATGACTGTTCATTGTCTGTTGGTAAATTACAAAGTTTATAAGGCTACTGTCACAGACACAGAATTATTTTTTTTAGTCAGAGAGAATATTAAGAAGTCACTTTAAACTATTTCATTCAAAGTCTTCCAAATCATGGTCTTTTCCTTTCTTTTTCTGAATCACTCCTAATGGTTTGTACTTGCAGGCACATCTTTTCATGCTGGATTTTGGCAGTGTCTTTTCCATGAAGTACATCATAATTTAATGAGGAATGCCATATTTTCAAAACTTGAAACTTTTATAGACAGTTTATATGTATATTGTCAACGTTTGCTGTAAAGTGTGAACTCTCACAAGTTTGTCAGTTTGTATCCTGTCGTGTGTATTTCTAATATTTCCCACATCTGGCTTAATTGTCCAGGTTAAAATACACTGTTAATGAGGTTCAGGAGCAATTAAAACCACTTTAATGACCGGTAGCACAGTTGACACCTTGTTGATTACCTGTTATCAGCGGCAATAAACAGATATCCTACCGATAAACAATGAAACAGCCATGTTTTCTGCACACGGAAATACTGTATCATTCAAAGTGAAACGGTAAAAAATCCGGATTTTCGAAAAATCGGTAGAAATGGTGGGAAAAAAATAAATCGGTAGACAAGCGGTAGACAGGGTTCAAAATCGGTAGACTCACGAAAAAATCGGGAAAGTTGGCATGTATGATTTGAGATGCCCCCCTAAGAAATCGGGGTGGTAAACATTCGATTTTTTAATCCTAAAACAATAAATATAACAGTAAAAATTAAATATCAAAAAATTATCAAAATCCCTAGGGCAGAAATAATTAGACTCGGCCTCGATAAATACAAATTAGTTCTTTGTTGGATAATTTAAGAATTCATTGTCTAAATGTATATTTAAATGTAGTCTTAAAAACAGCGTACGTTTCTCCAAGTTAGATAAACATCATGATTAGCTCTATTTTTAATAAAAAACAGATATGGTCAGTTAAAAAATCTGCATAATTTGAACTACAGAGCTCCAGATAATTTTTTACCCCAAAGGGTATTTACTCCCTGATTTTCAAATCAATGCAGATTTTGATTTTCAGCAAAATGATTGAAGAGTATTTTCATAATTTTGTTTATATATAAATGTTGTTACATTTATTTTTATTTTGAGCTTGTAATAGAAGTACAAGTTTTTTGAAGAGGGAAAAAACTTCAGTCAGTTCCTGCATTTATTTTAATGAAGTTTGTAAATTTGGTAAGATTGGGAAGCATTCTTATTTAACAATGAAGATTGTACAGTAGGTCAAGGTACACTGTACCATCAGAGACACGGAAAACTTTTCCTTCATTTAAGATATCGTATCAAGAGTAAACTGAAAGAATCTTCGTTAATATGGCAAGTTGAGAGAGATGAACCCATGCAATAATAAAAAAAAAGTTATGCCGAGTGCATAGTCTTTCTGCATGGAAATTAATTTTAATCTAAATATTTGATTCTTCTACCCGAAATGGAGATCGTCGTCGTCATTAATTAATAGAATATTCCTGGTCACTAAAAGGCTTTTATATCTGCACTTGGTTTTGAGAAAAATCAAACATTGAATTAACCTCAATTCGTATTGAGGAAGTCGTACATGTATTCTTCAACTTGTACGCAGTACTTTCGTAGTGTAATGCGTATCTATGATTGCTAATGCGTAATTGTACGCTCTATTTTAATTTTAAATGCGTATTTTGTAAAATTTAATGCGTATTTCTGCAAATACGCACCTTATCTGGAGCTCTGGAACACAAAAAAAATGTTACACTATTGAAATTGTTAATTAATATTGCTTCAGAATGAAACCACTTGAGACAAAATCATGCGTGTCAAACTAGGAATGGGCTCGAAACCATGAGGGTCGAACACACAATCGGAATGTAACAACCTGCATTCATTTTTTTGAATGCAAAGTTTTCGAATCTGACATTCCAAGGCAACATAGGGCTGATTTATGAAATGTATATTGTAAAGTGTCACCGGGGGGGGGGGGGGGGGGGGGAGATATTGTGTAGAAATTGATTCAGAGCCCTCACCCTCACCCAAAGAAATATACCATTGACATGGTCGATGTTCATCCTTAATACAACTGAAATACGTAACAAACAAAATAAAATCGACAATTGAACACATAAAACTCTGTGTATTTTCCTTAACGTGCATTGTTTAACACTCAATTTAGCTTACTCATGACACCAATAAAACGGTCAAACGACTTACTTATGGCTATTTCTACTCCATAATTTCTATGTGGGTCTTGATTGTTGTCTTTTGAACATTGAAAGCGCAAACCCACATTAAGTAGCCTCAAAAATGACAAAATATTGCCCAAATATCCATAAACTTACCAAACTACTGTGCTTTCCAAAACCATTTTTGCAAGTTATGTGAACGCTGCTAAAAAATCTTATTCGGATGAAATTGGAAAAAAAATTCACCTTATTCACGAAAAAGTCCTTTATGAAAGGCTTTATAAATCTATCTAAAAATTAAATAATGTTTATATGATTAGTCAAAAGAACTGAATGATTTTTTAAGAAAATGAAGTTTTTTTAAGTTTAATGATTTTCCGTAAAATTGATTTCAGTACTTTTTACAAAATATCATTATTATCGCTTACAACCATAAAAAAAATATAAAATGTATTATTTTTAAATGCACCACAATTGATATGGAAAATTTTTCTAAAATATTGAATAAGAAGTAGAAATTGAACACTATTTACTGAATACTTTTAAGGTGAAATGAATGAGTGAATATTTTTAAAAGGATATAGGCGGCATGCAAATTCATTTTATTGTGGGCACCTCAGTCATGTTAGTCAATTTGCCATGATTATGGTCCTATTTCAATGTTTAAACGTTTAAGAAGAATTGATCTGATAATGTCATTGGTCGAAGAAACGAAAAGCGATATCGCAGCAGACGATAAGGTATGTTCAGGTCCAGTCTAAAGACTATATCAAGTTCACAAGATCAGAAACAGTACAAATTGTAAGATGATGAACAATGTCTGACCTGATTTAAAAATGCTCTTTAATTATTTTTTAATTTTATTTTCAACGACAGGTAAAAGTAGGTAGAAGTACTTCCTCAACATGTTCAAACTTTACAACAGGTCTGGTACAATCACTTATTTAGCTACGTAGCTTGATTTATTACATTTTTACCCGTGAAAATCAAATGCTGTAATTTATTCATTGAATAAAAATGATATCCTGTCACAGTGTGACGAATATCAGAAGTGTGGGAAAACTCTTGATTTGACAATTTCCCTTCCGATATCTAAGATTGCTTTAAAAAAATCTTCCTTGACCTAACATAAGATAGATGGAAATAAATAAACCGTTCTGACATCGAATAAAACTGTCAAAATTTGCTAAGTCCATGTATGACATCACGAGCCTATGACTCAGTATTACAAAAAGACAGAGGCAAAGGAAAAATCAAAGAATTTTTTTTTTATTATATGTAATAAACAGATGTAGTTGAATATGGAATTTATTTCACTCGTGAGACAGGATTTTTTGATATTCACAGAGTGGAGAAACTCCTAAGAAAGTTCACAGAATGAAAGCTAAGAAGGATGAGGCGGGTGAAGTAGACCCTGTGTACAAAAAGTTATCAGCAATAAATGGAGAGATTAATCGCATGTCGGTGAAGGAACTACAGGACAAGTTAGCGGAATTAAAACTTGATGCAAGGTACTGTAGATTTGCAAATAATCATGATGGTTTTAATTTTGTGATTTATCATTTTCCTGCAAAAGGACAGGACAAAAAATATATATACCCCTGAATCTTCAATTACAAAGGTATAAAAAACTGTCATGAAAAGAGAAATATTTATCATGAATGTTATACAGATTTTTAGCTCACCTGAGCAGAAGGCTCAAATGAGCTTTTCTGATCAAAATTTGCCCGTTGTCTGTCGTTGTCTTCGTCGTTAACTTTTAACATTTTCGACTTCTTCTCAAGAATCACTGGCCAATTACAACCAAACTTAGCAAAAGTATCCTTAGGTGATGGGGATTCAAGTTTGTTCAAATGAAGGGCCACACCCTTATTTAAGGGGAGATAATTGAGAAATAGTGAGAATTTGATTGTATGTTTTAAAAATCTTTTCAAGAACCACTGTTCCAGGAAAGATGAAACTTATACGGAAGCATCTTAAGGTAGTGTAGTTTCAAATTTGTTCAAATCATGATCCCCAGGGGTAGGGCAGGGCCACAATGGCCGATCAAAGTTTTACATAGAAATATATATGAAAATTCTTTAAAAATCTTCTTCTCATGAATAGCAAAGGCATGAATGATCAGATTTATTTTGAAGCATTTTCAGGTAGTGTAGATTCAAGTCTGTTCAAATCATGACCCTGGGGAGTAGGGCGGGGCCACAATGGCCGATCAAAGTTTTACACAGAAATATTTAGGAAAATTCTATAAAAATCTTCTTCTCAAGAATAGCAAAGGCATGAATGATCATATTTATATGGAAGCATCCTCAGGTAGTGTAGATTCAGGTTTGTTCAAATCATGACCCCCAGGGGTAGGGCGGGTCCACAACATGGAATCCAAGTTTTACATAGAAACATGTAGAAAAAAATCTTTAAAAATCTTCTTTTCAAGAATAGCAAAGCCACAATTAGTCCTATTCATATGGAAGCATCCTCAGGTAGTGTAGATTCAGTTTTGTTCAAGTCATGACCCCGGGGGGTAGGGCGGGGCCACGATGTAAGTTCAAATGTAAAGGGCAATTAAGCCACAGGTAGTCAAAGAAATATGCAAGCATCCTTAGTTAGTGTAGATTCAAGTTTGTTCAAATCATACCCTCTCGGTTTACAGGATTGGTTTGGACCACTATTGGGTTTAAACTTTTCAATAATAAACTGATTTCTGCTTTTTTCCTTGCCACATTGCTCAAGTGAGCGATGTGGCCCATGGGCCTCTTGTTGTCTTAGTATTGGAAATTACACTCTAAGAGGGAAGAAATATCTGAAGTTAGCATGATAAGTTCCTTCATATGTCTAACAGTTAACATGGTGAAAGGTCTCTAATAAGGAGAGGAAACCTAGATCCTCCTCCTTTTTTCCTTTACTCCTCTATTTCAATTCTGATTGACCACCATGCATATTGGTAGCATGTCCTCATTTTAGAGAAATATTAATTGTCATTATCATTATATAAATTTACGTTGGACTTTAACGTATAATCTTGACAATGTGGTCTTTATTTTAGAGGTTCCAAAGACATTCTACAAAAAAGACTGAAAATGCATTTCAAGCAGAGGAAATTGATGAAAGCTAAAATAAAGCCTCCAGTGGAATGTACATATGATTACGTAATTGTCATCGACTTCGAAGCTACATGCCAAGAGAACAACTATAATTACACCCACGAGATAATTGAATTTCCAGCAGTTTTAGTAGACTGCCACACCAGAGAAATAGTAAGGACATACCGTTGAATTATTTTGATATCTAGGGGCAAATGTTTATGGGCAAGAAAAATTTTACTTGCTCTAGGGACAAAATTTCAAGAGTTACTTGATTATACTGAAGGTTCACTGAGCCAATATTTTTATAAAATAGATGTATAAGGGATGTTAATTCGTGGGCAAGGGTGACCCACTAAATGCACAGGCATTGGTCCCCCCCCCCCCCCCCCCCACATGAACAAGGATGATTCCATGGTAATCATCATCACAAACAAAAGCCAAATTGCACAATCCTCCACCATTCTGGCTGTGGTGGAATGAGACGAGGCCAAGCTTAAAAAACTTTGTTTGCAGTTGCCGACCAAAATATTTTTGAGTGGGTACACTAGGTAGATTGTTTTTTTTGGAAAGAAAGTTGAAGTTTTCATTTTTCTGTAAGATAATAAAAGCATGCCTACTAAACATAGGTAAGTTCCACTTCTTATAAGCCACTGATTGATAAAATCAAAAATAGAAAATTACATAATTTTAATATCGTGAAAGCTTGAAATTAAAAAAAAAATACAAAATTGCTGAAAATGTTTTTGGGTCAGGTGCATTTTCAGTTGATTCATAGGCAACTGCAAACAAATAGCAGTTGCAAACACATTTTTATTTTAGGCCCAAGAAAATTTCCTGGCTCATTAAGATATTTACCAATTTTTTAGTAAATCACACAGTCAGAAAATATCTTTGATGAAACTTTTCGTCATTCAATCACAGTTTACAAAACATTAATTCATTTGTCGAATTTAATTGCTAAAGTATTTGCATGTTTTTTTATTGGTCATGTTGGATTATGATGTGATGTAACACATTTTGCATGATTATTAATAGACAGGAAATCCCAAAACCTTATTTTTTGAGAGATATTTACTCACTCTTTATTAGAATAACTAGAAAAAGTTTTCATGTAATGTAGTTATTTAAGCATTGAATTCATATTTTTGGATGTCTTCGGTCCTATAACACACCTGGCCGTGCCGACAAATTGAATACCGTGCATTAGCGCGGTATTCAATTTGTCGGCACGGCCAGGTGTGTTATAAGACCGAAGACATCCAAAAATATGAATTCAATGCTTATATTTACATTCTCTAATTTTCCTTTTTCATAATTGCTTATTTCGTTAATCTTAAATGTGAATTTAGCGCCCTTCAAAACTGCCATGATGAATAGATGTAAGAGCCGTTTGTGACTTCAAATGACGTCGCAAAGTTAAATATCGCAAGCAAACATAGCGAGGAAAAAAAGTGACAAATAAAATTTATAATGCACATTACGTTAATTTTTACGTTAATTTTTCAGGGTTATAGTTTTTCATTAAATTGAAATAAAACATTTTACATTTTGGTGTTCCTAGAGTATTGAAAATGCATGTAGCAGGGATCACTTTGGGCTGCGCCTTTGCGCCATTGGTGCTCAATATTTGTAAATGGCGCACTAAAAAATTAGAAAGGGGTCAGTCTGGTGCATGTCTTACAGATATGGCGCTATAAGATGCAAAATTGTGGGTTGAAACTCTGATATTGGTGCATTTTTATTTTTAGGACAGTTTTCAAGCTGACCGATTGTATTCATGACGTATCTAAGCATACTGTTACTCGTTCAATCAGACTCTTTGTAGCCTCGTATGTTCTTTACACCAGCAGAGCGTCTGATTGATCAAGACTAAAATCGGAATTGTACATGGAATATTTCCTTCGTTTAGATTACGCTACTAGAATTTTTTTTACCGAATACTGAGTCAATTATATTTATTAAAATTATATGTAATGATTTAAATAATAAACACTTGAAAGTAATACTCCACTAATTAATATGTAATATGTTCTAATATTTCTTAAAACTTTGATTATTTATTTCGAAACAAAACAAGTACAAGTTACTCATTGTGTATCCAGACACTTGCCCGAAATGCCTCCAAAGCGAAGATTGGTATTGGGCCAACTGACCCAAAACAACGAAAGCTTTCGTTTGTTTTACAAATAAAACGATGGAAACTTTTTCATTCCCAGACTCCTGATGTCAACGGCAACGATGTTTGTCATTTCCAGTCCAAGTGGCTAACTTTGCACCCGTGGTTGGAATTTGATCAGATGGGACTAAAATGTTTTCCAAACAAATCAAAAGTTTCTCATTTAAGTTTTTTGCTCCGAGTTCTTTGCATACAAAACCAGTCCCTACCATTTGAACCAAATTTAATCTGCAACTGCCCCAGGTCTATTCAGTAGAGAAATGTGCATGTAAGTTAGCATCCTTTATAGTTTAGCTCTTCAACAACTTTCGAGAACTAAATCAATAAAATCAAAGGGGCGAGGAATTAACTTAGGTATTCTGTTTATCAATTTTTTGAATACTCTATTGTATGAACTCCAGTCTGAAACAATTCTCCAATATGACATTTTTCAGTACTGAGATGAAATTTAAAGAAAAAACCTTTCTTTTATATTCATAATATTATTCATTTTATTTTAAAAAACTGAAATTGGTTGTGTCAGAAATGGCATTTAAAAACCCTCAAAGACCCATCAAATTTACTTGAAATTCATCACAAAATAGCATGAAATATCAATTTTCCCAGGGAGCTTCTCCCCCCTGGACCCCCTACCGGGGCATTGCCCCTGGACCCCAATGGGGGCCTAACGCGGCCCCCATACCCCCGGCGGATGACCCATGGATTTTAATGTTGATGGGCCATTGGCCCATCAACATTAAAATCCAGAGTGATCCCTGATGTAGTTCCTACTGTGTATTCTAACGTGCGGTGACAAGGTTTCGCGTGTGTTATAGAAATTTGAACGTCGTGGATTTCTAATGGATTTCATAAGGAAAATTACACTGAATGTAAATGTTGTTCTATATAATCTTAAATACTAGTATCATGAGTATATATGAGAAATTTTCGTGATCACACTGTCTTGCTTAAAAATAAAGTTCTGGCAATAAAAATTGATTTACCACGGGTACAAATTTTACAGCAGCTTTGAGTCAGTGCAACCCAGTCCATATGACCTAAGAGAAAATGGAACATTATGTACTTGCAGTTGTTCTCAGAAACACCATCACAAACCACGGCCATTATGTACGGTCCTCTCACATTCTGGCCAAGGTAAAATGAGAAGAGAATTTCTCGTAGTTCATATTAAAATATTGACAAATGCGAGTAAAGCATAGTCGGATGATGAACTTTGTCACAAACTTTCAATATCCGATCGCAGTGTACGAAATATTTCTTGTATACTGCTGATGTCATTTGTTGATTTCAGTTGCTATGGAAACAAAACTTGTCATTGACTGAATATGACGTCACAATAGAGAGGCGTAAACATTCAAGATTACGACACTTTTTGTGATCAAGCAACCACGGGTAGGAGAGAGCTATGTGTGGACTCTGGACCATGGCTTGAGACGATGTCGTAGCAGCTGATTTTGATTTGCTGGTTGCAAATGTCAACATTTCTTCTTTTTTTTTTTAAAGGTTGATGAATTTCATGAATACTGTAAACCTGTTCTTAATCCAAGATTAACAGAATTTTGCAGTAGTCTTACTGGAATTTCACAGGTTTGTTTGAAGACATTTGATTGTTGGGGGGGGGGGGCAAAAATGATACTATGGCACTAATACACATTATATCTTTTGCATTTTTAGGTCACCTGAGTCACTCAGGTGACCTATTGCTATCCGTTTTCGTCCGTCGTCGTGCGACGTCCGTCATCCATCGTGTGTTAACATTTGAAAATTTTCAACTTCTATGAAACCACTGAACCAATTTCAACCAAATTTGATATACAGCATATATGGGTAAAGGGGAACAGAAATTGTGAATTGATCCCTGCCCCCCTGGGACCTGAGGGGTGGGGCCAAAACCACTTAAATTAATGAAATCTTTAAAAATCTTCTTCTTTACTCCTGGACATTAAGCAGGCAAACTGTTGGTGTGCATGTAATGAGCATTGAGTCCTCTACCAAAATTGTGAAATTCATGACCCCAGGGTCAGGGGTTCTAGTGCTAGGGCAGGGCTCTATTGATTATATAGTGAAAATGCATTAAATCTTTGAAAACCTTCTTCTCTGCTCCTGGGTATTAAATAAACTAATTAAGTAAATAATTATGATGAGCAAGAGTGCCTCTTCCAAAATTGTGAAATTCATGACCCCAGGGTCAGGGGTTCTGCTGTTAGGGCGGGGCTCTATTGATTATATAGTGAAAATGCATTAAATCTTTGAAAATCGTCTCCTCTGCTCCTGGGTATTAAATAAACTAACTAAGTACATAGTTATGATGAGAAATAGTGCCTCTTCCAAAATTGTGAATTTTATGGCCCCAGGGTCAGGGGCTTTGGTGGTAGGGCGGGGTTCTATTGATTATATAGTGAAAATGCATTAAATCTTTGAAAATCTTCTTCTCTGCTCCTGGGAATTAAAAACTAACTAAGTACATAGTTATGATGAGCAAGAGTGCCTCTTCCAAAATTGTGAATTTTATGGCCTCAGGGTCAGGGGTTATGGTGTTGGGGCAGGGCTCTATTGATTATATAGTGAAAATGCATTAAATCTTTGAAAATCGTCTCCTCTGCTCCTGGGTATTAAATAAACTAACTAAGTACATAGTTATGATGAGAAATAGTGCCTCTTCCAAAATTGTGAATTTTATGGCCCCAGGGTCAGGGGCTTTGGTGGTAGGGCGGGGTTCTATTGATTATATAGTGAAAATGCATTAAATCTTTGAAAATCTTCTTCTCTGCTCCTGGGAATTAAAAACTAACTAAGTACATAGTTATGATGAGCAAGAGTGCCTCTTCCAAAATTGTGAATTTTATGGCCTCAGGGTCAGGGGTTATGGTGTTGGGGCAGGGCTCTATTGATTATATAGTGAAAATGCATAAAATTTTTGAAAATCTTCTTCTCTGCTCCTGGGTATTAAGTAAACTAGGTACATAGTTATGATGAGCAATAGTGCCTCTTCCAAAATTGTGAATTTTATGGCCCCAGGGTCAGGGGTTCTGGTGCTAGGGTGGGGCTCTATTGATTATATAGTGAAATTGCATTAAATCTTTGAAAATCTTCTCTGCTACTGGGTATTAAATGAATTAACTAAGAAAATACGAAAGAATGCCTTGGTGAATATTATGACACCAAGGTCAGGGGTTCTGTTGTTAGGGTGGGGCTCTATTGATTATATAGTGAAAATTAAATTGATTATATAGTGACAATTCAAAATTGTCTTCTCTGCTTCTGGGTATTAAGTAAACTAACTTAGTATAAAGTTATAATGCCTCATTCAAATTTGTGAATTTCATGGCCGTTGTTTCAGGGTTTTGCCATTTGGTGTAAGGGGGGGTGGTGGGGCTCTTTTGATTATAGATTGAAAATACATTCATTCTTTGAAAGTTGTTTTCTTTGCTCCTGGGTATTATGCTAATGATCCAAGTTTATATATTTATGATAAAGTAAGGTGCATCTAGCAAAATGGTTAATTTCCTGCCCCCTGGGTCAGGGGTAGAGGTGGGGGGGGGGTAGATAGTCTGAAAATAAATTAATGCTTTGAAGTGTACTCTTTGGTATTAATCAACCATTAACGATGAAATAAAAATCATGATAAAATTTCCAAAATTTTGACATATGTGGCCCCAGGGTCAGTGGTTCCTTCTGGGTGCATAACTGGGTATAAAGTGGAAGTGCATTTTCCCTTTGTTATTCTGATCTACCTCTTGGTATTAAGTAAATAGAGTACGCATGCTTAGTTTATAATTATGATAAGCAATGGTGCCTCTTTCCAAATTTTCAGAATTTCATGGCCTCTGGTTTAAAACACGAACCAAATTCAATTGTTGGAAAGTTGTTACATGATAATCAGGTGACCTATAAGGCCCATGGGCCTCTTGTTTTTTTTTTTTCTGTTCAAATGATGTGCAAGTTTAGAGTGAATTGTGAATTATTTCAAAACTTATCAAAGTATTTGGTTAAATAGGTCTTTCAGAAACAGTTTGTTCTTGTTGAGGCTTCTTTTAGGAAATTGTTAATTATGTGCAATCAGACCGAAATATCACCAGTCAATTCAAAATTATTTTTGGGCACAAAAGCAAAAGTTTCACAAGGTTCATAAGCAAACCAAAGAGATTTTTTATCCTTCATAATGAACTCTGAGGGGATATAATTATAGCAATCTCTTTTTAGTTAGGGTTAGTGGGTGGCTGAGTGAGTGATCCAATGAGTGAAAGTACATGTATAGTTTTCTCAAGATTTTCAAGGTTCTTTTCTAAGAAAATTTGAAGGAAAATATTTTTCTTTTTACATGCTGCAAATGGTATAAAATAATTTAAATTAATTCTCAATAATTAGCCAATTTGTCTTAACATCATAATCAAGAGGAAGAAAAATGTACATGTACCACAGAAAGATAATATAGGGTCCATGCCATAAGATAGGGTCCATGCCATAAAGGTTATGGCTCACCTCACTGAATTTATTTTCTATTTCCAGGGACTTGTGGATAAATCAGATGAATTTCCAGCTGTCCTTGACAGAATGCAGTCATGGATGACTAGTCACCACCTAGGAATACATCATACGTTTGCCATAGTTACTGATGGGTAAGTTACCATAGCAACTATATTGTTTGTGAATCAGAGATGTGCATGGATAAAGTATCTTCTCTTGGATTTGATTTGAGTTTGTATAGAAATGCAGTAGTGGATCCAGGATTTCAGTCATGTAGTTATTTTGTGTAACAGTTCTTTCACCATCTGACATGCTAAATAAATTTCACCTCATTCATCCATATATTCTGTTACATGAAAACTGGTCTAATTTTTAACCCACAGATGAATTGATGGATTGGACAGGTTTCATTGTATTACATATATTTACTTTAAAATACATGAATATGAAGTCATTGAATATATTTTTCTGGTTTAAATTTACATGTAATGTAATTTAAACTTTAAAAGGCTAGATCGGTAAAGCATATGCCATTTCAAAGCAAAAAATAAAGGAAGACATGACTGTCAACATTTTTATTACAGGTCAAATGAATCAAATTTTATAAAATTTAGTCTTGAAAATTAATTGTACCTTATAAAGTTATGATAAAATGAATTCTGAGGTGTATTACTTATTTTTTAACAGACCATGGGATATGAGTCGCTTTCTTCAAATGCAGTGTAACTTGAGCAAGATACCATTCCCTCACTGGGGGAAAAAGTGGATAAACATTCGTAAAGTGTATTCAAGTCACTACTCATGTAAACGTATGAATCTGGAAGAAATGTTGATAAATCTAGGACTGAAGTTTGAAGGCACACAACATTGTGGACTCCATGATTCAAGGAACATAGCCAAGATTGCTATTCAGCTTCTGGAGGATGGGTGTGATTTGGTGAAAAATGAATTCCTGCACGTGGCACAACCTCCGCCCGGGCCCAAGGGGTCCAGAGAAAATGGATCTCGGGGCGGTGAAGGTAAAATTAGGTCCAGGGAGGAAATTGAACAGAGACTAGAGGCACTCAAGTTAGAGTCACAGAACTTTGTCGAAGAGAATCAAGATTTATTAGAATACCACAAATTACAGTCAGCATAAATGGACTTTTAGTGCTAGAAATTAAAAAATGAAGTTGTTCATGTTGTGTCAATTGGTTGTCTAACATGAAATGTTGAACATCAAGTTGACAGTGTCATGGAACACAGTGGAACAGGCTGTGCAATACATTTACATTACATAAAGGAAGTCAAATGTTACATAGCATGATGTTGTTTTTGTCCTTATGCTTCATTTGTTTTGTCACTTTTCACCCAGGAAATCCCACATTAGATCCAACCTGCTGAAGGGGAAGTTGAGGGCCCTACCTCACTTTAGAGTGCAGAACACCCCCTCATCACACCCCCAAATAAGTTATTCTATGGAATCATATGGCCGTCATATTGTAGGTCAACATTCGCTGATCCCTTCATTAATCAATCATGTTTAATTTGTCATACTGGGTACTGAGGTAAAGATAACAATGTTTATCTTATGAATATAGTTTTGTTTAAGTCTCTTTTAATTCATAATTACAGACTGTAAATATTTTCCCCCATAGATTTCTGGCATGCATGTTTAAAATTGGTTGCTCAAAGGGAAAAATTCACTACTTTGCTCTACAAGATAATGGCCAAGGGGAATAACTCCAAGGACCGAGGCAAAATACATCATAGGAAAACAATTTACTGAGGCACATGAACATGTAAGGTTGTTTTACAGGATAATCTTAACTGTAATTTCGACACATGTGCACAAATTTCAAATTTGGAACTGAAAATATAATACTTTTTATCTTAATTTTTTATTAATATGCCTGTACATGGTACATGTTTACTATCTTCCTTCAAAGTAACATCCAAAGGTTTAAATATATAATTGTTTTATTCCAGTTGCTCAACAACTTATTTCATTGTATTGATTTGTCAGGAATACGTGAAGTGTAGTCACTTGGCCCATGTTGTATAAACATTCTGGTACTGTTTGGAACATTTTCTGAAAATTAAAATGAAAAAATTAGATTAACCTCCACATATTTTATCTATATCTTGCCCTACGATAGGGCTTTAAGACAATAATAATTCTTGAAATCGACAAATAAAATACTTCCATGATAAAAATACTGTAGATCACTAAATTTTCGCAACACCTTATTTTGGCGAGATGGTCATTGACTCTTTGTAAGCGAGACATAATTTTCATGAATAGTTGTTATTGCTCTATATAATCGTAAGGAATAATTTTCACGAATAGTTGTTATTGCTCTATATAATCGTAAGGAATACTTTTATATGCAAGAATTAAATTTTCGCAAATGCATTGTGTTGCGTAATTACGCAAAAATAAAGTCCTTGCAAATAAAATTGATGTACAGTATTAGGACTTGAAAAACTGTTTACGCAGTGATATGCCTTAATCATAATATGTCATTAACATATGTCATAGACTGTAGAGTTGGTTATATGCCATTAAGTAAACATATTACATCATTGACATGTCATACTCAGTATCTGATAGTCAATCGGAACATCTCTCGATCACCCAAATTTTTTATCAAGTCGAGAAATTCTCAACTTGATGAGAAAGGCAGAGTGGTGTTCAGATTGATCTTAGGTCATTAGTGCTATTCTCTGTCATCCTTGGACTTTCAGTAAGGTGTGACATTCTCAGTGCTACATATTTTAAATTATTGTTGACAAAAATGAGATGACTAAAGCCTCTCCTCCTAGCCATTTGAGACACTGTTATTTAATATTTGCTTCAACGGAATTTCAATCCCGTTTATATTTCAACAGGGAATAAAAGGCTGTGTAAATTTCAGACACTGATTATATAACGTCAAGAATACCACACCTTACTGAAAGTCCAAGGTTAACAGAGAATTGTTCTAACATACGTCAATACGTAATTGATTAGTTGATACACTTATGTCATTGTGTATATACATGTGTAGTTGATTAGTATCTTACTGAATACATCGATGGTGGGATTTTCTCAAATACTGGTGACTGTATGTCAGACACAAAGAACCAGGCAAAGGCCACCAGTTTACCCCTGTCATACATCAAGTAAAATGGCGCCATTTCCTCACAGTACATATCTCGTCGGACATTGAAATGATACTGGTTACCTAGCAACATCAAATAAAGGATCGTTTACTTGCATCTTTGTACTTTCATCATTGAGAAAAACAAAATAAAATGGAATACTTCATAGCTAAGTTTATCACAGTTCTATGCATGCATAGAAAATTATTTCGAAAAACAACTGTCGATGTGAAATATTCGTTATAAAAACTAGGTTTTACACAGTGTTATGATTTGTGGAATCCCCCCCCCCCCCCCCCGCCCTTCCCCACCCCAATTTGGAAGATATGACCTACCTAATCTGGACATACACTGTCCCTGACCCCAGAGGGTCTCCTGAATGGTAGTTTCGTCTATTGGTACAGGCACAGAATCAGACATGGGATCTGGTCCATTCTGGAAATACAGTCCTGTTCCTATCCCCTCAGATACCAGCTGTCTCTCGGTTCTCGTAGAGGCACATATTTTGGCTGTAGCAGAAAGTACAATATTTGTACACAACTGTCAAAAGCATGTCCAATCCCTTTATGTAAGGTAGTTTACATACATGTATTCACTATAATATATGGTGAATTTTTTCATCAAAATTGTGTAAAATTTTGGCATATTTTAAAATTTCTTTTAAAATATTTCAAAATCTTACAAGGTTCCATGAAGTATGCCGTAACGAAGAGTAAATTTCCTTCCTGGACAAAAGGGCGGGGCTTCAGATTTCTCGTGGGATAGCCATTGGACAAATTATCTGGGATCTACAAACATGAAAATTTAAAAATATATCTGAGAATAATCCAACTGTATCATATTTTTATGACCTTATCCTTCTCTTTCGGTGACTTTGACCTCAATTCTTATTTTTTCTTTCGGCAGTTTCAAAGAAACTATAAATACACAATATATTATTAAATATTCTATAATGCTGTACATAGTGTTTAATTTTGACTTTGAGCAGAGACCTTCAATATCTGGTGCATCTATTTCTTGTACATAGCTCTCAACGTAGCTGTAACAATGTAGCCCTCTCCGATTAAAACAGGCACGTAGTATCAGGGGGGGCCTGGCCCCCCCACTTTTTCTCCCGACATTACCTTTACTACAGGAAATGTATACTGAAAGGAAGGTTGGCCCCCCCACATTTCAGCACAGTGTAGTGTTATAAAGGAAATTTACCCCAAAAAGTTTGAATTTAAAGAAAGTTGGTCTTGAAAAAAGTTAGCCACTATCCCAAAGTTAGCCACTATCTACACTACATTGTTTCAGCTACCCTTACCCCTGTTTGAAGTCCCGCGATAAGGCCTTGGGAATCGTAAATAAGTATAACAGCGGGGTCGTTGTTTCTCCAATAGCGCTTACCAATAAAGTTGACTGATCCTGAAATTTACAAAAAATATCTTCATTGAGGAGCTTAATTTTAAATAATTAAATTTAATGGAGTGCATCTAAACTTGGTATATCGTTTTTAGATTTTACAGCAAAATATTTCACAAATATACCTCGACCTTTAGAGTTGACCTTCAGTGTATATATATTGAACACTGATTTCTCGGATACTTTGGATATATATATATATCAATTTGAAAGTGATAGAAGTCCTAGTCTCTTAATCTACCAGTAATTTTACCTTGGAAATTTTGAATCCTTGAATACCTCGGAATTTTTTTTTTTTTTGCCCAATTGAGTTCGAGGTAACGAGGATTGACTGTAGTATATTGCGTTAAATAACATTCTTTTCTTTCATCAATGAGTATTTACCGTGTAATAAATCAAACGATGGGTGTTTACAAATTCGTCATTTGATGAATCGTTTTGTAAGCAGGAAATGTCACAATAAATCAATCAATAAATGTTGATTGAAACGTCGTTCCTATCGGCACAGTTAATCAAACAGGTTAACTTTTAATCTCAATTCTGTTGCATGTTATCTCTATATTGTTTGCATTGTTTATGAGACATATGTTAAATTTGATTGATAATGGATTCAAGTTTTCTCCAAGTGATGACTCTGATGTAATATTTTTTAAAATTTAATTTATCGGTAGTGCTGTAACTTTTTTTTGGGGGGGGGTGGTTAGGATATATTGTAGATTCCTAAAAATATTGTATTCTCAAAGCATGTAAACAGTACTATTCTTACTAGATTTTAACTCTAATTCAATGAATAAAGAAATTAAAATTTGATCGTTTGATCGAATTACCTGAACAGTCAGTCAGCATTGTGAATCCCTCTAAAATGGCGTCAGATTCTCTTAATGGAAGTTGTGCAAAAGCAGCAGGGTTTGTGTTGAAGCTTGGACTTGTAGAGTTGTAGTCCCAAGTTACTAGGAGAAATGAAGAAAATTAGGAATACAAAGTAGGACATTTTAAAAAAATATTTTAAAATTTGAAATATTAAGGAGGCTGGGGGTAAAAAAAATTAACCATCAGATAAAACTTAATTTTTAAGATATGATATATTACATGTAAGTTGTCAACTGTCATTTAGCAAACAAGAATTTCATACATTTTAATTTTAATTTTATAAACTATCTTCATATGGAGTTCTTCTTACAGGGGATTAGGGGATTAATATAGTTTTAAAATGGCCAAAACTCCCAGCCCTCGACTTAAAGATGAGAAGATACGATTTTTTTTTTAATTTGAAAACAACTATACTCACTGATAAAGTAATATCTACTATGAATAATTTTAACAGTTTTGATTTTAATTTTCATTCAAATTACACAATTATGTCCAATAAAAAGTTTAAAAGTTGTGTAGATTTTTAAGAATGATTGCAGAAAGGTAGCTGAGATTTGGGGTAATATAGAGCACATTTTCCATAAATCCGAATTTTAACAGCTACTTAACAGTAATTCATTAAAAGTATATATTCTTCAGTTCAAAGGATAGTTGTTTGATACCCCCCCCCCCTCTACTCCAACCCTTAGTAATACGACCCCAATTCCTTTCTAAAAACTCAGTTTCCCATTACTGAAATACAATAGACTTATTTTCTTTAAATTGTCCTTGACATTAATAACCTGTTGACCGAATGTGATATTTCCCGGAGATTGACATTTAAAAAAACCCACAAACATCCGCTTGTAAGTAAATCATATAAATGTCGTATAATATTTTGGTTGTTAGGCCATCTTTAA